TGATGATATAAATCCTGCAAACGGTTTAGGGTTTAGGGTTTAGGGTTAAGGACCCCGAACTATGGGAATTACGGTACAATCCTTATTAAGGGTAATGCAGGACTCACATCATCAAACCTCTGAAGCCTACCTGTGCGGGGCTCCTTATTATCATTTCCTTATATGAATCCTTCAGACAGCCAGGCCTACTTGTCCAGTATCATGGGGCACTAAAGGTGAACCCTCGGGAATACGCCCTCGGAGTTATATCTGTACATCTATGCATGTATATATATATATATAATTATATAAGGAGGTTACCTACTCTACCACTAGGCAGGTTATCGGGGGTTCAGACCCTACACCCTAAAGCACCCAAGGCTCCGCAGCATCGCGAGTGAAGTGGGCGCCGAGGTCGCAGACCTTCCACGGAGCGTTTGTGACTCTAGGGGTCTGAACCGTGATGGTGGTATACATGCGCCTGCTTGCCCACAGGCTCCATTTCTACTACCACTGTGGAATTAAGTCCCAAAAGACCAGAATATATATATATATATATATATATATATATTGTATACATGTATACATGGGTCCTGCTTATAAATATAATTGCTTATGTTTGTTCGGCTGTGCTTTTATTGTCGGACATTCTACTAAATGTTAAATATACACAGATACACACATAGAGATACATATTTTAATAAGGGGATATCATTCGTAATTATTCCGAACTCTATGTCTGTGCTGTTCAACGAGCCCTTCCTGCAGGGTTGCATAGACCCTGCATAGCTGCGCATGCCTCGACAGTATATACTTTGGCCTTATGTCCCAGAGTGGTGCCCCCTAAACCCTAAACCCTTAGGGTCGGGTAATGGAGGGGCCTTAATAATTAGAACAGGGTCTTGGGGGCTCTTTATTATAATTATAGTAGAACTGACCCCCAAACCCTATTCTAATTATTAGGGCTGCTATATTTTCTCTTTGCTGAGGGCTGCTTGTTGTTGCCAGGGCCTTCCAGGGCTGTCCGTGATGGTTTTTAGGTTTTAAGGTCGAGTGGTTATTAGCTTCAAGAAAAGAACATCTCCAATACACTTGGTAGGGGTGCAGTTCGATCACACACTGTAGTCAGTAAGGAGTAACAGTAAGGCAGAAACTTTGTCTGCAGACATGACACCCTTAAACCCTAAAACCCTACATGACCCGACAAGAACTGTCAAAGCATGGCGACAGCGGGTTTATATTTGGAGGTTCAGGGTTTTTTCCAAAGGGTGAAGCAACAAATCTTGCTTGGAAGATTAACAATGAGGGTCCAAGTACCAAGTCGTCATATAACTTCCCAAGAAGTAATATACATAACTACTATCCGAAACCTTAGCACCTGATTATTGGGTCCTTTGGACCCATAGGGCAAGGAGCTTCAAGAGTAAACCCCCGATGGAGATGACCCACCAAGATGTCTGAGCTACAGTGAGCTACAAGTAGTTGGGACTTGAAAACGTGAAGGAACTGCTCGTCTTCCAAGAAGGCTGCGGAAATTCTACAGCTCTACAGTACTCTTATAGCATAGTCCCTCAAGAAGAAGGACTTGAATTTCGGGTCGGAGATAAAAAAAAAACCTAAGCAACCAGACGCACCCTAAACCCTAAAGCCTAAATCCCAGCAATCTCAGGATGAGGCAGTGTCGCGCCAGGCCTGAGATCAACGTGGAAAGCCTTACAGCCACTTATGCCGCGGGAAACAAAGAGGTTTAGGGCTTATAGGGTTTAGGGTTTAGGGTTTACAATGAGAAACCCTACAAGCCCAAAGCGCCTAAACTCTAAACTCGAAGCCTGTCAAAACGCTTATCTCTAGAACCTAAAACCCGTTCCGCATGCATTTCCCGAAGCAGATGCCCCCACGGCTCGAAGAGTATAACCCGAATCACCGAACCGTTCGTTTGTCAATGACTTGTCCAAGGCTCCTTTGCTTCCAAGCCAGGCCGGGAGCTGAAAAACCGGCCAAAACTAGACGTAAAGTACAGCTCTCTTCTTAGGGTTTAGGGTTTAGGGTTTAGGGTTTAGGGCCCAAAAAAGCTCACACTCTCTATGTCGACCAAACAGAGGCCAAAAGAAATGACGTTTTAAAGTACTCCCATTGGCACCTAAGACACTAACTACCTGGCCACAAGAACCTACTGTTCAACAGCTGTTTGGGGCCTTATATAGATGCCCAAAGTACCAGCTATCCTACCTGCGGGCAGTGAGACTGGCGAAACTTGGCTGCCCACCAGGCCGACATCGTGCAAGCCTCTGGATTCGTCTTGTCAGAGGGTTTAGGGTTGATTTATTCCCTGCATGAGTCCTAAACCCAAGATGCGCCCTAAACCCTAAACCCCTAAACCCCAAACCTCCAGATATCTAAAGAGGCTGCAGCTGCAACCCTGTTTCGAAGCGCCTTGGGGGGGCTTTCAGCAGGTCAGCGTTGAAGGCTGGTTGCAGTCTTTTTTGGAACTCCCATACTTTTTCCCTACCTGGCTACCCCCTAAACCCTAAACCCTACCTAAGAGATATTAAGGCACTGTAGTCATTGCAGAGTGTAGGTGCAAGGATGGAGTTTGGATTCCAGCAAAGATGCTGGGTTTTAAGAGCGGCATTTGGGTAGTCCTCTCCCTAAACCCTAAACCCCAAACCCTAAATGGATTAGGGTTTAGGGTTTATGTACCTTTTAAAACGGGATATGACCCTAATTGAACGAATGGTACAGTCACCTTTTTCTGAGGTACCTAGGTCTTTATTTTGAGGTACCTAGGTTATTCTAGGCAAACCCTAAGCTCCTAAACTCTGAACTCCTAAACTCCTAAACTCCTAAACCCTATAAACCCTAAACTCCTGAACTCCTAAACCCTAGACTCCTAAACCCTAAACCCTGCATATCTTAACTCCTAAACCCTAAACCCTGCAGTTCAGCCTCGTGGGTCAGGCCCTACACATCAGGGCTCAGAGTTCCAAGCTCAGGACGTTCAGGGCTTCGCGCAGGACGTGGCTTCAGTTCTGGCTCAACCTGAAGCCACGAAGAACAACTAAACCCTGAAGACAAACTGAACGACCCTAAACCCTAAACCCTAAACCCTAAACCCTAAACCCTGAAGACAAACTGAACGAACCCTAAAACCCTACACCGGCCCTACACCCCCAAACCCTAAACCCGAGAACCCTACATCCCCAAAACCCTAAAACCGGAAAAAAGCCCTAATGGCCTAGAGCTTTGAAGCTCTGAGCAGTCCTAAAAAGCCCATCTAGTAACCTTTGCTAAACCCTACAAGGACCGCCTTTCCGAAACTCTAGAACGGTTTAGGGTTTAGGATTAAAGGGTTTAGGGTTTAGGGTTTAGGATTTAGGGTTTAGGGTTTAGGATTTAGGGTTTCGGGACAAGGACCCCCTTGTAAAATGCTCCGATGGCCTCCCGTCTCTGCATCGGGAGCGCAGGGCAGCATCCTTAGCTCGGCCACCATCGGCCTCAACGGATGGCGCTTAGGAGGTTTAGGGTTTAGGGTTTGAGGGTTTTGGGTTTAGGGTATCCCTTAAAGAGGACAGGAACCCTAAACGGGTTTAAGATTTAAGGCTCATATATCAGATAAGAATATATACTACGAGGGGACAGGGCCCCTACTTCTACGGGTCAGTTGGTCCTTAAGGACGGACCCGGCAAGGATTCTAATCATTACACGAATACGGACCCCATATAAGGTTTCTCTAAGTGTGCTCCCTTAAGGCTTTACTTTAGCTCCATAAGAGTTTCCTAAGAAGGTCTATAAGGGGTGTAAAGATTCTAATGTAGGGGCCTTGACAATTAGTTACTTTCATGTTGGGGTGTATTATGCTAGAACTACAACAAGGAACCCCCCAAATAGTATAGGTAATAATCATTTAGGCCCCTAAACCCTAAACCCAAAAAGGCCCCTATATTGTCGGTGTGAGCGCTTTACGGGCTCGACCGCGGCCTTCCATCAAGATTTTGTGCGGCTTTGTTTCCTTTAATATAGGGGCCTTAAGAATTAGAATAGGGCTTTGGGGGGTTTTTGATGCTATGCTTATAGTAAGGAGCCCCCAAAACCCTATTCGAAAAATTGGGGCCCCTACATTACGCATTCCTTTCAGGGTTCGACAATGCCTTCTGTACGATTCGCTAAAGAATCCTTGACAGGTTCAAGGCGGATTTCTGAAAAAGTTATGGCGGTATGGCGTTGGATTTCTGTAAAAGCTCTATTGCTGTTTCCTTAAGGATTCTGCAAGGATTCGTTTAAGGAAGGAATGCTCGGGTTTCTAATGTAGGGTCCAGAATAATTAATTTGAAAAGGTCTTCCAAAACTTCGAACACCTGCAATCTCAGTGTAGGGTCCCAATATTGTTCCTCTGGGTTGCCTTCATTCGCGCTTTCGAATTTCGGGCGAAGGGTCTAAGTTCAGCTACTGTCGGACAGCAGCGGTCATCTTGATCTTTGTCGCTGACTGTCTTCACTAAGCCCTACACCCTAAACCCCAGAAAACCTTAAACTACTTTTATCTGCGACAGATTCAAGTTTTGCAGAATTGTGGAGTTTCAGGGCTTTCGAGGCTATGTTGAGCACAGGTCGAGGTCACACATGCCCTACACTCGAAACCGGGAACACGCGGTTTGATTGCGCTCTTTTGCTGATCATTTTGGTTAGTGATGACCCCATCCGCCGTGAGTGGTTATGATACTAGTACAGAAGAAGATGGTGAGACACATGGCGGTGGTGGTGGTGGCGAACAAGATGGTCGTAGTGCTTACGGTATCAGTGGCGGAAGTAGAAATCGGCTTACCAGAGACACGGACAGTTGGAATTTCCGACCCCGAAACGGTGTTTCGCGGCAAGATGTACGAACACCATGGTACCTGTACTGCATGGAACCACGAAGTTTTCAAGAAGTCTCAAGTCCATGTCTGCAGGGGTACTCAAGAGTCTGACATCAAAGCACGATCATCGCGAAAGCTGGGACCGGAACTGCAACACTCTGCGGGTTACCTGAAAGCTTGCAGCAGCTTGCAGTGCAGGGCTGTGAAAGCCTGAACCCCAACCCTGATAGTCTGTAGGGCCAAAGTCTAAACCCTAACACCCTCATACTAAACATACCGGTCGGGCACCAAATTAGCATATGTGTCTATTCCCGTTCAAGCATTGACCTGCATATACCTGTATAGACCTACCTTTTTTAAAACTCATGATTAAGATTTCCTTATGTAAGCCCTCAAAAAGGTAATGTCTTTGAGGTTAAGGTCTAAGCTGCAGCATGTAAGGTCAGGATGATAATACCACACCCCGATCCATCGAGTTGTCGGAAATATTGCGCTTGAACATTTCCCAGAGGTCAGAGCATGAATGGACAGTTTTGCTGTGTTTAGCTCATCATCGAGGCTTTCCCTTACGCTTCGGTCCAAGACAATCCGGACTCACAGCTGTCTTCCCAGATTCTCTGCGTGCCACCCCCTTCTCTTTAAACCCCAAGCCCGGCTTTTTTAACAACACGCACACACACACACACTCTCTCTCTCTCTGTCTCTCTCTGTCTATATATATATATATATATATACACATACATATATGTATGTGTGGGCTATATACACATGTAGATAATAAACAGATCGAAAATTTGTACATACATAAAGAGTAAAACGCGTGTATATATATATATATACACATCCACACACACACACACACATGTTTACGCACATCTCATGCATTTGCTTGTTCATCTGTGCATTCATCTCTAGCGGTATGCGCTTGTACATACTTGCATCTGCATGGTATCTCTAAAACACAAAACGGGGCAACGCCGCTAAATCACGCTGGGGCCCTGGCCACGTCGCCACCTGAGAGCCCGCGAGGGCGAAGGGAGGAAGCAAGAAGAAGACGCTGGGCCTCTCGGTTGAAGCTTTAGGGTTTAGGGCTTAGGGTTGAGGGTAATTCGGGTTCAGGGTGTAGGGTGGAGGGCACAGGGCTGAGAACGGTTTAGGGTCTAGGGGATGGTATATGGTTAGGTTTAGGGTACACACCCCTAAACCCTGAACACGTTTAGGGCAAGCCCTGAGGCCCAAGACCCCAAGGAGCCCCCGTGGGTGGCCCTGTTATGTTATCGTTTACAGTTTGAGGCTACCTGGAACCCAACAGTATGTAAAATCACAGCCTTTTGTAGGTGTTGGGCCATCATGTTACCTAACTTTTTGGGGTTCAGGTATAAGGTTTTAAGGGTTTAGGGTCTAGACTTAAAAGGCGGCTTTAGGCAACAGATTCCAAAGTGGGATCCTTTTCGCCTACATGGAGTCTTAGGAAGACTTTTGGATGCTTCTCAACTTGTCTAAAAAACTCCAACCCAATCCCTGAGCATCAAATAGCCCAAAAGCCTCATGTGTCTTTGGCCACAAAAGCCTTAACATATGCGTCCTTTGAGGGTAAGGGAATGGGTACGGTGCCCACCCTAAACCCTAAACCCCT